AAGGAAAGAAATAATCTTTCCTCACACCTGCCATTGTCAGAACACTCCAAGCCAAGTTCTTTATCTTTTTTTAATTTCTTGACGCTACGGTTGCCACCTTGTAAAGTCCTCTCCACTGCTGAAATGATATTGGGGTTTCCAGCAAAACTGCTAATAGCTGCCATTGAGACCTGAAGCATGTGGCTATCTGTTGACCTAGCCTTTTTAATGCTCTACTCAGACCATTGTAATTGCAAATACAGTTGAGCCACCGATTTCTAGGGCAGCAGCACAGAGGAGAACAGCAGAGGTGCCAGCAAGGTCATAGGGCAAAGAGGGTGAAGACCCCTCATTAACTTGGAACATAGCTGGAAGTCTCCACTTGCTCTGCTCCCCTTCACCAACCTAAGAGGTGGCTTACACATGCACCTAGGTTTAATTTTTAATGATCTGCTGTCTTTGTTTTCCAAGTATGATGTGTCTAAAACAATTGGAAAATCCCCGAGCAAGAGAGAAATGCCTGGGGTTGTAGCCCAAATGTCCTCTTTCCTTGCACTTTGAGTAATTAATTGTGGTCCCTCATTATGTTGAAGGGACCAGAGTAACCGGGCTGTGAGAAATACTTTTGCCACCATTGTGGAATGTTGACAATAGGTTTTGAGCAGGAATCACATTTCTGAATCCTTCTGTTATGGTTCTCTAAAAGTAAAGCAACCTTTTGCAAAGAGTTCGCAATTATTTGAATTTGACCAGCTAGAAACCTCTCTTCCAAAACCCATATTAAACATAAAATAAATCTTCGTACTTTTTGCAGCTTTGCAGTTATTCTGCTTAATTGTTTGCACCAGCCAAATTTATCCATCAGCTGCCAGAGCCCTGCTTATTTGCGAGTAGTATTAACCCAGCATTTTAAATTTCTACAATGTGTGATATAGTGAGCAGAGCATTCTGCTGAGAGTCTGGAGACCCAAGGTTTCATCCTGGCCCTGCCACATTCTAGCTGTGTGACTTTGAGCAAGTCACTTGACCTCTCTGAACCTGTTTATCTGGGGTTTGGAGTAGTTAAATGATAAGAGCTCTTCTGGCTGTAAAATTCTACAATTGGCTCCACATATATTCATTTCATTTGGGACCACTTATCTCACCACTGTTGGCTCATGTTAACTGCTAAATACCATAGTACAACTTTGTAAGTGCTTATTTCAGATGATACTGAAAGCTCTTGGAAAACCTTGTCTTTCAGCCTTGCCATAGATGTGCTCTAGTGATAACCAGTTTCCACTTGACTATACATTGCTAATGGCAACGTTATGCACCCACACGAGCTCCACAGGTCTAACTTATTAATGGTCTATGCTAATGCAATTTCCAGAAAGAATGTTGTTATTAAATTTTCTGGAATTTCCACACAGCAAAACAACATATAACTGCTTGATAAATTACTCTGAATAGATTTAGTAATTTGTGTTAGGGTGGCTCTCATTTATGTAAGAAGCCTAAATCCATTTAAAGTTAATTTCTAATTTTCTTATATTTATGTCATTCAGAAATACACTGCTGGTCCAGGAGCAATCTTTCCAAAACCCAAGTGATCTATTAATTTTGTTTGGGTTAAAGCATAAAATGTGAACAGTGTGCAGTATCCACAGTTTGCCAGTTACTCTTCACAAACCTTCCAAATACGATCTACGAATTCGTTTCTCACATGGCTGAGATATTTCATAGCATCTCTGTATTTTATCTTAAATACAAGGGGAAAGATAGATGGATTTATTAAACCACAGTTCCTAACAAATAGCAAATTAACATAAAAATGTCCATGGACCGAGCAATCTGCATTTTATATTGCTTTTAAGGATTTTGGATGAAAACATAGTCCAAAATGCTGGGTCCTTTTCCATGAGCGTCTATTTACAAAATATACCCAAATGAAGATTCTACTTCCTCACTGTCATCATTATTTAAACATAATCACACTGCTGTTGAATTCTGTCTGATACTATGGTAGGCACAGTAGATAGAGCCACTTATGCAGTTATAACCGCAGCCCATGAAAGACAGGAGATGACAGTAAGATGGATTTACCCACATAGAATATACAGATTATGAAATATAAGCATCGGGTTGAATTCCTACAAGGAATGTAGAAAAGTGTTGAATTTTTAATGCTGTGCTCTGGTAACTTCTTATGCTTTAAGCTTCAGCAGACAGTTAATTACACACCACCACACACACACACACACACACACACACACACACACACACAAACATCAAGCACAGAAATGCAGGTAAGTGACTTAAAAATGGCTCACAGACAGAAAGTAGTATTTCTGCTAGGGGATAATTTCTTAAGGAATTTTGAAAATCCCTAAATAATTTGAAAAGGAAATGAGATGACTGATTTTACTTTGCTTTAACCAACATAATTAATTTACTCACTATTTATTTAGCATTTATTGAGTTCTTACTATGTGCCAAGCAGCATGCTTTTACTAAGCTTAGTGTAATTCATGAGAAAAATAAAATAATCAAGAAAGAAATCTCTGATTCCTAAAGCACTTCCATTGCAAAATCTACAAACAAAGTGAATTAGAAAAGATGTTGTTAATAAAATATTTTAAATCTGATTCTTTAATATCAAAGAAAAATTAAAGAGATGCTATCTTAATTATCTTTTCATGCTATCACTAGAAATATTTCTGAATTTTGTTCCAGGCATTCTTTTGTAGTAAACAGAAAATATGATCCATTTGCATTTAACTTTGAAGATGTAATTAATCTGGTATCTCTATATTATTTGTAAGTAGATGATCCAAATTATATCAGACCTAATCCTTAACTGGGCAACTGTGTCTGAGCAGAAATGACAATTTGGGTTAATGGTACAGTAGTTAAGAAGGGTATGGCAAAATAAATTTTGAGAATATGATCATTAAAGTTGCATTTCCATATTATTTTAATTTGAATTCCTTATCTCTGGAGCTAGCACACTAGGTAACATCAGGAACGCATCCTTACCCCTATCACAGGTACTAAAAATGCTTCATCCTAGGTTTGTCTCAGCTATAGCTAGAGTGGCCATACATATCTTTGCTCAGGACATCCAAGTTTACTCCTGTTATCCCAGTATAATTACCATAGCTTCCAATCACACTTCAAATTAGTTACTCCCTAACTTCCAGCTACATTACAAAGCTATAATGATCAAAACACCATGGCATTAGAATGAAAACCTATGGATCAATGAAAGGAACTGAGAATCCAGAAACAAAGCCCACACATATATATGGGCAACTAATTATAACCAAAGAGCCAAGAGCATTTAAAGAAAGCATTAAGAAAGAAAATTCTCTTTGAAAAATAGTGCCAAGAAAACTAGACAACTACATGCAAAAATATAAATCTAAACTATGCTCTTACACCACACACCAAAAGTAACTCAAAATGTACTAAAGACAACATAAATTGCACACCTGAAATTTATGTTATGAGCCAATGTTGCCTCAATAAAAAATGTTTTTAAAATACATAGAAAAAAATAGGTGATAAACTCATCATGTAATCAAATGAGAAGTCTTAGAATGAAAAAGCTTCTGCAGAGAAAAAGAAATTGTCATAAAATTGAAAAGGAAACATATTAATGTGAGAAGATATTCACATATTCACTCATATGGCAGGGCTTAATAGCCAAAATGCATTAAAAAAAACAACAAAAAAACTTAAATGAGCTGAGGATCTGAATAGATATTTCGCCAAGGAAAATATACAGATGGCAATTATAACTTGTCATTAGGTAAATACAAGTCAATATCACAATGAGATATCATTTCATACTTGTGAGAATTACTTATATCAAAAAGTCAAGAAACAAGTGTTGGATGGAGAAAAATGAACCCTTGTACACTGCTGATGGGAATTCAGTCTTGTGCAGCCAATATGAAATGGATATCCCTCAAAACATAAGAGAAGAAATCCCATCTGATCCAACTAAACGGAAACACTAATTCAAAGTGATGTTATGCACTGTTATGTTCATTGCAGCATTTTCAATAGCCAAGAGCTGGTAACAACCTAAGTGCCATTGACAGATGATTGTATAAAAAAGATGTGGTATATATGCACAATGGAATACTACTGAGCTGTTTAAAAAGATGAAATTTTGGGATTTGCAATAATATGGAGGTTCTTATGCTAAGTGAAATAAGTCAAATGGATAAATACAAATACTGCATGATTTCACTGACATCTGGAAGATAAAGAAACTAAAAAATGAACAAACAAAACAAACTCTCAGGTTATAAAAACAAAATGTTGGTTATCAGATAGTGAAGGAAAAGGGAAGTAGATGAATTGGGTAAAGGCGATTTATATGGTGTTGGGTGGAAACTACATTTTGGGTGATAATCATAATGCAGTACATACAGCTGTTAAAATATAATGCTGCACACCCTAAACAGCTATGTTTTAAACCAGTATTACTGGAATTGAAAAAAAAATAATATATAATTTTTTTAAAAGGCCTAGTTAGGGATGATTGATTACACAGTTCCCTTAATCATAATGCAATTATGATACACACCCAGGCCCTTCATTAGAACATAGTCTAGTCTTGTCCCAGCATTAGAAATGTGGTAATCTGCAAAGTTGCAAACCCCTGTGGGAATGTATAATCGACTTCCGCTACACAACAGACAGTTTTTGGAAGAAACAGGCTGGACAAATTACCTTGCTGACTCATGAACATCCCCTTTACGCACATGTCCTGTTCAGCCATCATTTTGCACCCATTGAATCCACTAAAAATTCCAGATGTGGCCAAATTCTCCTGGATGTTTCACATAGCCAGACCTGTCAAAAACTTCTTAAGAGCAGAAAATAGATCTTATTCACCTTGGTGTCTCCAAATGCCTTTACCACTCAGTGTTGTTTGTAAGAACCACTCAATAAATATTTGTTGAAATGTCTGGAATATCCAGTCAAAACACCTGGCTGGTTGGCCTAATTCTTTACTTTCTTTCCAGCTATTTATCATCATGGAGACTCAAAGAAATCCAGAAAACAGACAAGTGCCAGACCTATGCGTGTTTATGGGGAGCAGTGCCCAGAGAAGGTAGTAACTTCCACACTGAACCCACTGCCTCCTCTTCTACTAACTTCTCAATTTATCTTCATGCTTTTTTCTAAGGCAACTAATTGGCCACATTCTATAACCCAGATATTCTAGAGTTAAGAGCCAGGTCTTCCCCCAACAAACCCATCAAGAAAACAGGTGTTTCCACCTGGATCTCTTGTGCAAATTAAGATAGGGTTTCAGGACAGAATCTTAAGAAAGAAACACCCTCCACTCTCCATCCTGCCCTTAAATTGTGCAGCATCTAAAGATGTCATGACTTCATGCAGAAACCAGCCATGGTGATGGGATAATAGTGAGATAACGGGAGAGATTAAAATAATATTTTGCTCATTCTGACTTTAAGAAGTTGAGGTTTGTCCACAAGTTATTATTAGGAATTATAATATTCAGATAAACCCCCCTACATTTTGCTGACGCATTTTGTCACCATTTTTACATTGCATGCTGTTTTGCAAATCATAACTTTAGCACACTTGTCTCTTGGTTTTTCAGGTTACCCCAACAGTAAATAAGACTGCCTAGTGAGACAACTTGCTGGGTCACACATGGGAGGAAGTCAAAACTGCCGTCTAACTTGGGTGTCGCCTGATAAGGGAAAGGTTTTTTCACCAGGTCCATGCTTGTTTGGAAAGCAATGAGAAAGCAAGGTGAATTTCAAGCTGGAAAGAAGGGATATGAAGAGCTGAACCCTGGACTCCGAAACCCACAGCCATACACATTCTTTCAGCGGGTTGGAGTCTGGGAGCTCTCTCCTTTCATCAGTCGGCATAAAAGTTGTTTCAGCAAGAACTGAAACAAAGGAAGGCATTCATTTACAAAAGCAAGTCTAAAGGCACAGTGTCTGTTAGGAACTTTTATTTATGCTGCACCTGGCATTATTTTTTACTATCTGTGGAACGGGGTTGCCTGTGCCAGCTCCAACCAGGAAATAGTATGTTTCTGTATCCAACACATAAACCTTTGTCACGTGCGGGTGAACCCCGCACCTCCCACAGCAATCTCGCTTCTGACGGGAGAAGCTGGGCAGAGACAGGGTGCTCATATTCTCTGGGGGTATGGGTCTGCCACCCACATCTACAGGTAGAGGCTCGTCACCAGGAGCCTGGGCCTGAGCCCTCACCTGTTTGTGCCAACCCACAACTGCAGGGCGTCCCCTCTCCAAGTAAAATGCTCTTTGAATTAGCTTTGCAAACATATGGATGCAGCTGTATTGAGGAAATATTTTCATTTGCTTCATAACTCCTGGTCAAGGCAAGATTTTGGACTAATTCATTCGAAAGACTCGAACTTTACCCATTTGCTTTTTTTAATCAAAGCAAATGTGATCCAGGAATGTAGTGATGTCTTGCTGTGTTAAGGACAACAGGTTCACTTTTCACACTCTGGTTCAAGCAGAGAGGAAAACATGCAGGACTGGGACTGAATTTCTCTGAAATATCACTTGAACTTTCCCTTCATTGAATACCTCACCAATACCACAGGGACCTTGTCCAAGATCATCTTAAATTTCCATTCCAACTGTAACAAGTCCATCACGCTCTAAAAGAAGACCAGCTCTGCTCTTAAGCACATATGAATTGGATATTGATATTTCACTTCTGATGCACTTAAATGCTAATTATTTCAGAAAATAAAAGACTGTTTTGAGCTACGAAACCTGCAGATCCTGATCGTTAGTCTCAGTGAATGTATAGGCCCTATATTATATTCTGTGCCCATCAAAGTAGGAAAGCTAAGCAGCTGTTCAGACAAAGTCTGACAAAGACATCCAGTGGCAAGTTGTATGTCTAATTTATGCTAAATGAAATGGAAATGCTGCTTTTACTCCACACTATAACCTATAATAGGTCCAAATGGGAGTGGAGAGAAACTTCTAGTCAACTTCAAATTATAGAAACATAATTTTTTGCAACATACAACATCTTAAGGATCATTTCTGTTTAAATATACCATCGCCACAGAGTCTAGACTTGAACCTTTACACTGAAGAACCAAAAAAATAGAAGTCCAGCTCCTTTTCCTTATGATTTTCAAAGTTTAAAATCCAGTTTAATCTTCCATGTCCACAAGCCATAATTTAGAAACCTGAATTATTTGCTGCCTTCCTAAAATTCCCATCTCTCTTCTGCTCACCTTCCATTTCACCATGGAATGACTGCTGATTGCTTAGCCTTCTAATTGCAGCAGCCCCAACCAGATCAGCCAGGAGCAAAACTGAATTGACCACATGGCCCTGAATGGCCAGAGCATCCAGGAATCTTGCTGTGGAGAGCAGTGAGGGAAATAGCCCTCAGTTCCAAAACTACTTCTCTGCCATCCAAGAGACAGCTTACAGGTTAGCTCCATCCATCCACACACCCACTCAAGGGGGTGTGCCTTCCTCCATTCCCTCGGCTGCAAGGGGTCATTCCCTCCATATGGAGTTCAGGCATTTCCCAGGTAGGGAGGCAATAGTCTGGCTATGTCAGTTTTCCATTGTGGCTGGAGCTGTTAGTTACATAATGCATTTCCACGCACCACACTCTTAGCTGAAGCTGGGAGGGGGTAGGACAAAAAAAGAAGCACACAGATGTATACTTGTCATTTATGTCCTGTAGGGATACCCTTGAAACTTGTTAAAAAATGTCAGTCAAGACATCTGGTCAGTCATCCTAATCCATATTGGGGTTTTTAGCCTACTGTTATGCCCCAATATGCTTTGAACATTGCCAATATGCTTTCTCCGCAGAAGCAGCAGTGTGTCCCCTTTGGTTTCTCGGTACATCCCCAGCACTGGTGTTTATAGTGTCACGTATCAGGCAAAATGGAAAACCACATACTGTATCTTGTGTGTCTGGCTAATGAAACGGGTCAGACAAACCTTGTGCAATCAGGGATGGGGGCCTATTGGCTTAGGCCAGGTCCATCTTGCAGACTGCAAAAGAATCAGCTGTCGCCAGTGCCATACGGCAGATGGACAGTTTGCATCCGATTTCCAGTCAGGCGCCAAACCCTTTAGAAGCTTTGGCAGCCCAAGCGCCATCAGGCAGCAAGCCTTTGATGTCCTGCAGATGGTCATGGCAGCCATCTTGCCTTTGCAGCCTGAGAGGCCCGGGTCTTACTTTCAGGCAGCATTCACTCTGGCCTGGGCCTGTGGTCAGCCGGAGAGATGGGTCATTGTTCTGAGGTGTACTTGACACCAGCCAGGATCTTCCACCAGTTTCTACTGCTATATGAATAGTTAAAAAAAAATATTCATTTTACAAAAGTACACGAATGCACATACACACCTGCTCTCCTTCTTCCTACCTCAGGTCTCTCAAGTCAATGTGCCTCTTTACCTCTTCTCGCATCACTAATCAGAACCCTAGACTGTAGCCCTTCTCTTTCCTGGTAAGTGACTCTAGCAAAACTTTCCAGCACATTCACTTCTGTGTGGATGGTGCAGGCACCTACAGGGTCCTTTAAAATAAAACAACATCAGAAAAATAGAAACAAAGAATAGAAGAGAGAAAGGGAGAATGGGGGGAAGCTCACATCCAGGCTGCTTCCCTCAGCGTCCAGATTTCCTGAGGTGACAGTGCCTATTTTTTTCTTTTCCAGTTATAGCCCCCAGACCATCTCAGACACCCTCTTCCTCTGGCATCACCACCTACAGTGGCAGCAACTGGGCAATTTCAGATTAATCAGGATGGAAAATCAGGATGTTTCAAATTCGGTGTCCATTTTAAGACCCCCTCGGAGTTCTGCTACATCTGGGTCTGACTTGCCCTAAACCCCAAAGCAGAACAAAGCCTCGTCTTCATGGTGGTCAGACTAATCTTGTGCCATGAATAGCCCAGAGTAATCTGTCAGAAAGCTGAGCCTGGAGGTCTTCCAACCGGAGCCCTTGCACATTTGGTCAGAGCAGTTAGGAATTCTGACTGGCACTATTAGTGGGAAGCCATGTCACTGCCCCCGAGCAGCAATGGAGGGCCTCTCCCGCCCAGGAGATCAACCTAGAAATGTTCCTTTCCCTCCACACCCCCTTGTAGAGCAGGGCAAGTGGGGAGAAGTAAAGAGCAAGAGGCTGACAAAAATTAGAAACAAACTCTGTGAAAATAAATTCAATAATGTGTGATTTCCAGCCACTCAAAAGTAATAGAAATATTTGGTAAAAATATATAGCTATAAATTGCCAATTAATGCAAACTGGTTAAAGCCAGTAAATGGAAAAAAATAAAAAGTTAATTAGAGCTTTTTGAAGCTTTGTTATATATACATCATTTGCAGGTGCTACAAAAGTGAAAAATAACCATTCTAATTACTAGTATTCAAAGATTCATATTTTTCCCGTGTAATTTATTTAGGATTATCAGTTTCCTTGTAGCTATACAAAAGGCCTGTCAAGGTGTTTCCCACGTGTTTGGCTCGTGTGTGTTCCAAAAACAAGCCAAAAATGCTGTTGTATTTTACCCAGAACAGGGAAGCTACTCTGAGGGGGAAAAAAAAAAATAGGCCAAGTTTTACCTGGATCTCTATCTTGGTTAAATTATCTTACATATGTTTTAATTTTTTTTCTTGTTCTTTCTGTCTTTATCTCTCTCTCTCTCTTTGTTAAAATACATCTGTGTTTGTTGACTGCCCCAGATTATATCTAAGTGAGGAGTGGGTGTACCAGCACCTGGTATAGTATATGTAGCTTAACAATACATATCATTACATTATTTACAGCTCATTTTATGTTATTCAATAGTAAACTGCAAATTAACCCTTCCCAAACCAGTGGGAGAAAATACTCCGGGAGGCACGAGATATCCAATGAAGCTTTTTTTCTACTCCCCCTGCAGAATTGTTAAGAGTACATCTATAACTGTATTCATAAACACGGAAGTGTGTTCATTACAGCAGAGATACCCACCAGAGCCAGCTAATTCCTCTCCCAGGAAATCTGTTTCATAATGATATTCCTTACTACACCACACTTGTACTTATGCTGATAACACAGGTTATAAAAGGGACTTAGGACTGGAGTCAATTAATGTACTGACTCTTTAACCTCCTTTATTAGAGTACATTAGGCGCCAAAGGGACTCGATGTTATGCTGCTGGCAGCCGAAAGGCCCAAGCGATACCATTTCGTGCCATCTCAGCCCTGCCTTGAATTCACGGGAATGTACATCCTGATCTGACCTCCTTAGCCACTGATTCAGCTGCAGCCCAGTGCAGGAACACGGGGCAGGGAAGCCGGGCAGAGTGGGCACCCAGGAAGCACCTCTCTCACCTCTCACCCCCCAGCCCCATCACAGAACTCGCCCTCCCCAAAGCCAACTTGCAGGGCCTTTTACTGGATAGTGGAGCTCACCTATAACATCCAGATCAGCCAGTTCTGCTGACTTTTTGTTCCCATGGGGGAAACGAAAGGCAAGAGAGGCAGAAAAAACTTGTGGAAAGTCACCAGCTTGCTTAAGAGCAGAGGTAGGAGTGGAGAATTTACAGTTCCTGATTCCTGGAAGGGTCTCCCACCCCATCGCCTGAGGCTCTTTCAATATAAAAGGTATGATTAATGAGCATTTGCTCAAGTTTGGCCCCAGGGGAGGGAAAGGAACAGAAACACAAATAAAAATGAACTTCAAAAAGTAGGTATGGGGATAGAGAGTGGCAGAAAGGGAATTTCAAACTGGATTTCAAGGGAGATACTACAAGTTTCAAAGTTCTCTTTGCTAATAAGACATTTCGTTACTCTTTTCTCTCCGAATAGCACTAATGGGGGAATAAATGTATGTGCTGGACCAAAATTGAATGCATTCTTAATAATGTGGACTTTTCGAAAAGAGGCATACAACATAATTTGAGGTGAGAAAAAAATCCTACCCAAACATCACTGCTAACCTTTAAAGAACTCAGCAGTGGCTTGTTCCGGAAGGAGTCATTCTCAAGATTATCAGCAGTTTAGCTACATTTTGTTGGTAATTAATTTGATAAATTAAGAACTGCAAAAGAAAACACAGTATCTTATTATTTCTGAGGTTTTACGGTATTTTTCTTCAAACAGACAAACAAACAAAAGCAGGTTTCGTTTAAAATGTTCATTTCTACTGCAAGGATACAAACAGCAAAACTCAAAGTTTGCCGAGTCTGGCTCCAGACAACAAAAGCCTGCCCCAGATCCACTGGGCAAAATATCAAAGATTAGCCATTCATAATGCAAACTTCAAACGTGTGGTTTAAAATAATATTCAAATCCTAGGACTGTGGGCAGTGGCTTCTAGATAGTAAGAAATGAACAGCCCAATTCCTTCATGTTCTCCTTTCTTTTCTACAATCATGGAACAAATGGGCTGGTGGAAAATATTATGAAAAATGGTGAAACATGAGAGATGTTTCCATGTTTATCTGAATGGCTCCCTGTGTATTGAGTGCAAAAATGGCAAATTAGAAGCTGAGCTCTTTTTCATCAAAACTGTCCACAAACAAGATGATTTCTTGGGGCTAATTTCCATTCAGGGGATGGTGGAAGTTATTTTAAATGACCAAACACATTTCAGAAGGGTAAGAGCATATCAACATGTCCACAGGGTCAGAACTGCTCCCTCTCGAAGACTCGAAATGCTCCAGGAGAGCCTCCCTTTCACAATGAATGGAAATGAGAAAAAGGTATCTTCCTCCGAAACATGCTAAAAATACAGCAATTACCAGATACAGATGTGGTGTTATAAACTCCTCTTCCAAAGCATTCTGTTT